AGCTGTTCACACTCGCCTCCAGACACCCTACACCCACTGCTCCCCTTTTTACACCGAATTTCAATGGCTCCTTTAGGGAGAGAGAAGAGAAACCAGGAAACAACTGCGGGCGAGTGACTTCTGTACAGTGGTGGGTTAGTAGTCACAGCTGAAACAAGCTAGTGTTACTGTCTGGGATTTGGTAAGCTAGCGGGTTTTAGGCTCAAGGCTGGAAAGATTTGGGATCAAGATGCTTCACTTTACTTTGATAAATGGCAAACATCACAAGCACAGTTTTTCTGAGGATCAACAGTAGTGTTTAAATGACAACAAATGTTTTTGGACATTTATTTTGTAGTATTTTTTAAATTATTAAATACATGCAATAAATTGCACATTCTTAATTATATTATATATAATTATGAATAAGAATTAAGAATACAATTTATTGCATTTATTTTGATCAAAACTACTGCAAAAACAGTAATAATTTTGAAACATCATTACAATTTAAAATAACTGTTTTCTATTTATATATATTTTCAAAAGTAATTTATTCCTGTGATGGCCAGTATCATATGACATGATAATATGCAGATTTGCTGCTCAAGAAACAATTCTTATTATTGTCAATGTTGAAAACAGTTGAGCTGCTTAATATTTTTTTCTTTTTGGAAACCGTGAGGCATATTGTCAAGATTCTTTGATGAATGGAAAGTTCAAAATAACAGTATTCCTTTGAAATTGAAATATTTTATTTTATCGAACATAATACACACACATAAACATATAGAGAATTGTATGTAATATATTTCATATATCATTTTCAATAAAATTATATAACTATAAATTCAGTCTTACAACAGTTGTCACAGACATGAAAATGCATCATAAAACATAAAAAAACTAACTTTATTATAGAAACTGTTGTCCATTACATTCTTTTCAATGTGAATAGTTAAAAATCAATGATACTCATTTACTGTCACAAATCACAAAAATGACCACATGATTTCAAGACCGAGCCACCCACAGAATGAACCCGATCTAGTCCTATGGAGGAAATGGGAGAGGTCTGGGTACATTTTCCCCTGCAACAAGCATGCCAGTACCCCTGAAGTCAGCACCTGTGTTCTAAAAAAGCCCAGGCAACAGGAGACCCAGGGCCAGAGATGAGGCTTACTCTGAAACCCAACACTCCGCACCCTTTTAACAGCATTAAACCACCACAAATAGCCAGCAGCATTGCTCTTCTCAGGAATAGTACCATGCATGCTCAACAATTACTGTTTCCTGTGGCTGCACATGACAGTAACAAATTAGACATTTCCATCTACATCATTACAGAGGATTACAACATATGCCATCAGTAATAACCACAGGTCATTTCATTATACACCTGTCAGTGAAGATATTTTTGCTTCTAAAGCTAAAAATTTGCCCTAATTTCCCATAATCCTAAATTGTTAACTGTTTAAATGAACATCGGGTTAAAAACAGAATCCACTGAAGAAATATAAAAATATAAATATGAAAACCTGCCATGATCAGTTGTCATTTTCAGTAGCTATTCCCATGGAAGCTGTGAAACAATTGTAAGGGTGTGTCTTTAATGCACTACGGAAACAATACAGAGCAAGTGTTCACTGGGGTCAGTGGCAAAGTAGAGAACGAGAGAGAGAGAGAGAGAGAGAGAGAGAATGCTCAGTGTTTGAGGAGAACGTAAGCTCCAAATCTGACCGCTCTGTTTATTTTTAACACTGGCAGTCAAGCTGGGCCCCACGGTGCTAATAACTTTGTTCCTCTCTGTCACTAGCATTTGGCCAGCAGCATCCCAGTTTATTCTAAGAGGTCATATAGCTCTCTCTTTTTCCGGAGGCTGGCATATAATTTTTCAGGCAGTGCAATTCAAACAGCTGATTCCCAGGACACAGATGCACAGCACAGGACTTGAAGTAGCTAGCTATAATCTTTTTTTTTTTACATTTCTACTCCATAGCACAGAAACAATGATATTGTGGTTGTTGTGTTGAATGGAGCTTGTTAATGATTTAAGCACAGATTTCTTAGGGCTCTAGATAGTCCCAATTCATATTAGGTGTTTTTAACTACCGTGCACTTAACTAATTGTTACAATACTGTTTTTATGTTGCATTGCAAAACACTTTTGCTGTTATTGAGGTGGGATAAGGTTATGAACAGGACTGGTGGTATGATTAGGTTTAAGAATGGGTTAAGGAGTAGAAAAAAGGTCAACAGTGTAATTATAGATGTAATTAGATGCGGATATTTTTTTTAAATATATGTACAATGTCAAAACATATATTTACAGAAGAAATGCATTGTATCAAATGATTAATCTAAATCTAGTAATAAAAGACACTTAATATGCAAACAGAAGCATGGTGCTAGAAAAGCCAAGGTCAATGCTCAAACAAAGCATGGCGCAAGCAACAGCAAGGACATTGGTTAAATTCCCAGGGAAAGCAAGAACTGATCAAAAATGTAATACCTTGAATGCAATGTAAGTTGCTTTGGATAAAATCATCTGCCATGTGAATAAATGTAATGTGGGTCCTTGTGTTCTGTTTTGCAGATTGTCATAATTCATAAATGACTGGGTTTCTTAAAACACTGGAATATTATCTGTTTAAAAAGTAAAGTCATGTTTTAGATTAATGACAGATATGATGTTTAAAAGAGACACAGGGATATTTTAGAGCAACTGGGAAAATATAAATGCAGTTTCATTCAAAGGAAGATGATCAAATTTGCATACTTATAAAGATAATTCATCTAAAAATGAAAATTCTATGAACTTTTACTCACCCTCATGTTGCCCCAATGTGCATGACTTTCTTTCTTCTGTCGAACATAAAAGAAGACATTATGAAAATATCTCTCTCTATACCTTATGTTTTTTTTTCACCCCCGAGTACACACTGAAAGTCAATGGGGTCACAATGACTTTCATTGTATGGACAAAACACTTCAAATATTAATCAAAATATCTTCTTCCACCGAATGTCTTGTAATGAAGAAGAAATTAATTCATACATTTTTGGAATGGGTAAATGATGACGGAAATGCAGTTTTGTGAGTGCGTGTGTGTGTGTGTGTACTGGTATTCAATAGTATGTTATGGGGACCAAATGTCCCCACATGGATAGTAATACCAGAAAATGTTGACCTTGTGGGGACATTTTTAGGTCCCCATGAGGAAACAAGTTGTGTTCAAAACACAATTTTCAAAGTGTTTTGAAAATCTAAAAATTCAGAAAGTTTCCTGTGAGTGGTAGGTTTAGGGTAAGGGGATAGAAAATATAGTTTGTACAGTATAAAAACCATTACACCATTACAAATGTGTGTGTGTGAGTGTGTATGATAGACATGTCATTTCTTGTGTAATGTGAAAGTCATCAACACAAATTTAAAGAGCTGGTTAAGGCACACTATAATTCTTCAGCTTTAAAAGTGATGTCCTTCCTTAGGTATGACAGTTGATCCTGCTGAGGTTGACACAGCTGTCTGTGAGAGTCTGGTGCTGCGCTCTGAAGGATGGGAATAGAAAAGGTCAAAGGACACTTGCATTTCAGTAGATGTCAAAACAGGTGCTAGCGACTGAGAGGTAAACAGCTTATTCCCTGCCCTGCAAAGATGCTCAAAATGACCCTTTAAATAAAGATAAAAAATTTTGTATGATACGTTTCTAGTGGTAATTCATTATCACATTTCATGTGAGAAGCATTTCTGTGATTTGCTGTGAATGATAAAATCTCTGACTAGATGTAAAACACTTTCTAGTGTATTTTTTTCAGGCACAAGTAGGCTACAGTTTTAGTAAATGAAGGCTAGATATTATTAAACAGCAGACCAAATGGTCATATAGCAGGAAATGCACCTCTGACCCCATCCTGTCACTCCTTAAAAGACCCACGTGAAACAGGCAGGGTGTCAAAATGAGATGTGTGTTGGTTCAAGTGGTGTCAGCAATCTCACTGAAAAGTGGGGGTTCCCAATGAATGAACGTGTGAGCATTGGTGGTCAGGGTAAGGTTGGGGTAACTAGGTCAAAACTGACATAATCACACCGACAGACAAATGAACAAAGGATTACAGGTGTGTGAAAATCAATGATTCTACATTCAAGACAATTCACTGCAGCCTGAAGCTGAGGCATGCGACAATAAAAAGTAATATACTGTGATTGCGGTATCACTTCAGTGTTAAGAAAATAAATCACAGTAAGTTATCAAATGGTCTGCATTTTTGTTACTGCATTATTATTCTGGGTTTCAGGGGTGTCTGAAGCAATCATTACATGTTTGATGTCTGATCCTTCACATGCACCTAAAGACAAACTCACAAAAGTAAACATGAATTATATAGTACCGAATATAATTATTTATATTTTTATTGAGCATCATCGACTTAAAAACATTCTTTAAAGATATGAACAATCTTTTAAACAACCTAAGTTGCTTTTACTGCAATTTACAAGGCTGCTGTTTTACAATTTTTATTGTCACATGACTTTTCCAAAGATGTGATGTCAGCGCAGGTCACAGGTCATAGGTCACATCTGCTTCTGTCAGCTTAATGTAAAAAAAACCTCATCAAATGTCTTTCCTATTCGTATAGGTCATTCTTATTGCCTAAGGCAAGTTGTCACATTGGACAATATCTGTAACTTTAAATTATTTTCTGTATTTTATTGAAAGTTTTCCATAGTATTGCTAGGAAATTGGTTGTTTTATACATTATATGTTTTATCAAACATAATAGCCTATATTTTGTATCACTAAAACAAGAAAAGTGCATTTGATCCCTCTATTAAAATATGTTTAAACACACATAGATTACAAGCTTTTTATTCGAGGTTCAGTTTGTTTTGTTAAAAACGATTATCAGCTATTGTGTTGGCTATTTGTAGAATTACTGACAACAAAGCAGCTGAATATCAGCCAAGGTTGGTTGAAATAGTAGGATTTTGATGAGACTTGCGCGCTCTGTAACTTCCTGTTTACTACCGGGCAAGATGGCGGCGCCCACATAACCGACAGCACGGAGCACGCTCAGTTTAGAAATCAAGCTGTATTCTTCATGAGAAATCAATTTGAAAACCAATTTAAACACCAGCTGAACTATCGAAAGTTCTTTTCGGTCGATCGCCTACATTGTATTGATTTATTTATCTCGATGCTCCACGCATTGATGATGTTATCTGCAGCTGTGAAATGTTCACGATCATTCATGTGTGTTTAGGTCTGCTGGTTAACGTTTAAATACTGATCAGATGGAGCCGGAGACAAATCACGGGGAAATATAAGACAATTCATGCTTTTAGTAACGTTAGAAGGCGGCATCGCAGGCATGCGGTGTGTGAAGGCACTGCAGCTCACCCTTGCGGTCGTCAAACCAGATGCTGTGGCCCATCCGCTCATTCTGGAGGTGAGATCACACTGTTCTGCACCTGTCTAAATGTAAAAATGATTAAAAGAACGTGGAGTCTACATTACATACACATGACGTGGATACACTAGTTTTGAGTCCCCCTTGACATTAGCAAATTAAATTCAGTAACGTTAGTGGGGCTGTGTTAAACTTGTTGTTAAAAGGCTATATCTTTGTAACTATGGGATTTTGGCATAGCCAAATTACTACATAAATGTGTGTTTTCTCTGAGAGCTGATTTATTTCTGCTATTTTGTAGCAGTTGTATTAGTTTATGCATGGAAAGCAGATTCTTAAAGGGGTAGATCACCCAAAAATGAAAATGCTGTTATTATTTAATTAAAGGTAGTTTCAAACCTTTGACTTTTTTCCACCTGCGAAATACAATAAGAATGTTCCAGTTCTGTAGACCATTGGCTGCCATTGTATGGACAAAAAAAAAAAAAAAGAGACAGACATTAATTAAAATATCTTTTTATGTTCCAATGGTAGAATTCAGGTTGAGACATGAGGGTGAGTAAAGAATGACAGAATTTAGATTTTAATTCATAATTATTGAAAGAATTAAATAATTATGAAATTAAAATATTATAAGAAGTATTGATATAAATCAACAAGTTTCAGGGGGTACTTCCAGTAAAGATTTTTAGGTAAAAGGGGCAAAACGTTTAGCTGACAAAAACATTTAGGGATCTCTGGCTTACTCCATATAGTTACTTACCTGGCTATAAAAAATAACCTATCCTCCTGAGCAATATTCACTGGAGTAACAAGTGTGACAACTAGCCCCCGTCTCCTCTATACCCATCCTGCTGAATGTTACCCTTTTAACAAAGAAATATGTCTTGTAACTCAAAATATGTGGGGGCTTAAAACTACATACTTTGTCTTTATTATTAAAACGAGCAAGCCTCTTGCCTGATTTAATTTCCGCTGTCTGTCGCCTCAAAGAGATAAAGGTGCCTTTAATTTCCTCATGCAACATGGTTTGAAAACTGAAGCTATTTTACATTTTAAATGTAATGTTTGTACTTTCATCACTCAGTCTATAACCTTGTTCTTTTTGGAGATTAAAACTCTTATATAACCCTTTGTCGTCTTGTTGCTGAGGGCAAACATGAAATGAAAAGAGCAAAACTGAAAGAGGCTTCCATTAGCATAGCAACACATTTTTACTGACAATAAGTTTCGGTTTTAAGAGATGCAGATGAGCATAGGAAACATTTGAATATAATATTTCTTTTAATTTCAGGCTCTTCATAAGAAGATTCTCGAAAACTTCATTATAGTCAGAAAGAAGGATCTGACGTGGAGAACAGACGAGTCAGAAAGGTTTTATGCTGAACATGCAGGTAGAAAAGAATCTTTCTTCCTATAATATCCACCGCATGAATGAAAGAGGTCTGTGTTTGTAACAGATTGAATGGTTAAGTACATGTGTGGGTGGGTGTCAGTGTGATGCGTGATTTTAAACAGGGTGAGTCAAAGTAAAGGCTTCACACAACCTGGAGTTATAATGTTGACACAGCATGTGGAGAGAAAACATGTTACTCACTCCCAGCTTATCATATCCTGCATCCAAAGAAAAGCAGCTGCCTCGCATTCATGTCTGTATTATATGTGCAAGCCTTTTCAGACCATATTAACAGATTGCAACAAAAATCTGCTGCATAAACCACATCACCCTCGTTGGCTTATTTCTAGTGGATAAATTGATCAAAAGATAAAAGATATACAATGGTTTCTTTTTGGTTATAATCCCTGACTGTTTTTATTTTTACAGGACGTTTTTTCTATCAAAGACTGGTTGAATTCATGTCAAGGTAAATGTTTATTAGACTATTAATGTTTTTGTTTAAAAAAAAAAAAAGTAAAAATTTCATATGGCGGCTCTGCAAAGGAGCCAGTAGCAGGTTTATATGCACATGTATATTTTTATATACAGAATTGTGGTCATACATTTGTATGTATTAATTAAATAATTTGAAGCTGTAAGCTATTGATCTGTCTACTGACTATTGGTCTAATATATACAGTCGTTGTCAGAATTATTGGCACCCTTGGTAAATATGATCAAAGAAGGCTGTGAAAATAAATCTGCATTTTTAATCATTTTGATCTTTTATTTAAAATCGTGTCTGACAACAGAATATGCTGGGGATTGTTTTTGGATGAGAGCATTTTCTTTTCTTGATTTTTTTTTCTTGAAACCCTCCCAAACAACATGTGGTATAGGTGCTGTTTGATTTTTTTTTTTTTAAAGGTTTTCTGACCCTGAGACTCTGACCCTTTCTGCAATTCTCCAGCTGTGGTCCTTGGAGAGTCTTTAGC